GTATTATTATTTCTTGTGTAAATAAGAGAGGAGGAGATAAGGAGGAGGAGAGTGATTGGAAGAGCTTTATCATTTGTTTATTCTGGTGTACATCATTTTCTTCTTCTTTCTTTCTTACTTCTTCTTCTTCTTCTTCTTCTTCTAACCCTCTCTCTCCTCTCAAGTTCATTAATTTCTTTTGCAAGTGGACAGCATTGTACTAGCTGATGAATGTGTATCTCGAAATTGGCCAGGATCATAACTCAACGGTATTTTGAGGCAGCATACCGTTAGTTCATTGGGCCCATTCTCGGGCCCATTCTCTTCCCCGCGCGCGGGGCATCGGGAAGAAGGGCGCTGCTCAAGCCTAAACTGGTCTGAGCTTCTGACGACTGTTCCCCCCGCCTCCTCATGACACATCAAAAGTTTCTGCCCTGGTTTTGGGGTCTCTGGACGGACTCATATCACTTATCAATAATATCAATCAATCAAGAGTTCGGGTCACCTCTTCGTGCAATTCCATTTTTTTATTCGATGCTCTCCTTTTGTTGACACTGCAACAAGAGCGAGCTCTAAACTGTTCTATTGCCTACCTTCTTCACCCGAATACAACGTACGGTCATTATTGCTGTATTTAGACGTAAAGATAGCCCAAATACAGCGATAATGACCGTACGTTGTATTCGGGTGAAGAAGGTAGTGTGGCAAAGGGCGAAACTACGCCGAATAGTATTCCTGACTCCTGGACATGTGACCAAATTCATTGACCTAAGGGGGGACCGGGGGAGCATATTAGGCTGACAACAAAATCACTTACTCCATGCAAAGCCTGTGCTCAACCCCAGAATTCTCCTGATGTCTAACCACCTTCCCCTACCTCGCCCTCCCCCCTCCCCTCCCCTCCTCATGTCATGGAAATTTGGGCAAGACGTTGTCAAGGTGGGAAAGTGAAGCGGCTAGCTGCCAGTCTGCGGGGGCCAAGTCTTGGGTTCATCAAAAGGCCTCATGCAAGTGCTAAAAATTTCCCCATCTGGGGCTTTGCAAGAGTGTTTCCGCTTTTTTTTTTTTTTTTTTTTTCAATGTGCATCCTATCCCTTAAGCAGCATTAGCCGCAGGGAGAGGTCCATGACGTGCTGCGCGCCGGATTCGGGTTGAAGTTTTGGTGAGGGGCAGCAGATGAAGGCAATCGCGGGCGGGGGAGTGTACAGAGGGGTGCGCGTACGGAAATGTTCACAGCGCGCCATTAAACGAGACCACGCGCCCTGGGGGCGGGGCACACGGCTGGCGTTGATGCGGACGAACATCTTGGAGGCGAACCATCCGATATGCGGGCTTTTTTTTTTGTTTTGTTTTGTTTTCCGAACTTTTCCCCAGTTGGTCGTCGTTTTGTGTCCCCCTTCTCCTTTTTTCATTTCTTGCGCCTGTCGTTTTGTGTCCCCCCCCCTTTTTTTTTTCTTTTTTTTTCCCTTCCCTCTTTTTTCATTTCTGGCGTGGCTGTCTTTTTGTGCCCCCCGGTAGGCCGTCGTTGTTTCTCCGGACGAACATCTTGGAGGCGAACCATCCGATATGCGGGCTTTTTTTTTTGTTTTGTTTTGTTTTCCGAACTTTTCCCCAGTTGGTCGTCGTTTTGTGTCCCCCTTCTCCTTTTTTCATTTCTTGCGCCTGTCGTTTTGTGTCCCCCCCCCTTTTTTTTTTCTTTTTTTTTCCCTTCCCTCTTTTTTCATTTCTGGCGTGGCTGTCTTTTTGTGCCCCCCGGTAGGCCGTCGTTGTTTCTCCGGACGAACATCTTGGAGGCGAGCCATCCGAAATGCAGTGTGAGGTCACCCACTGCATTTGTTATTTCTGCGGGCGTAGCCGCACCGCCCGCACCGCGGGGCTCTTAGCTAGTTAGTATAATATATGAATAAATATGTATGTGCATAACTCAAAATTGTTGTGGGAAGCTGCCAGCTGTAGATGGTGGTGCTTGGAGAAAAAAGTGGGGAAATTACTAGTATACTGTATAACTTAATAAGCTAGGCTACCAGAGTGGCCGGGGACAACTTGCCCACCCGATCCCTGAAAAAAAAAAAAAAAAACTAAAATTATAAATTATTTTTAAATAGTAATAATTATTATATTAATAATAAGTAAATTACAAAGGAAAGCAAGGAGCTAAAGAAAGACATGAAAACCCAATGGTACAGAAATAAAATCAACAAAGCAAAGGGGGGGAATTTCCCCGAAAATTTCGGCAAAAAATGAAAACAAATGGGTAGATAGAAAAGACCAACAAACAAACGAGTTCAACACACCTGTAACAAGTTTTTGATCAGATACAGACCGGCTGGAATAGGATAGAGCTTTATTTCATCCCAAGTAGTTCTTAACCTGGAGAAGACAGGAGGAAAAAAAAGAAAGAAAGGAAAAATAAAAAAGGAAAAAAAAGCCTCAAAAAGGGCAAGTGATTTCAAAGCTCAAACAGCCAATACAGTTAAAAAAGCAAAAAAAAACGTTGTTGTATTTTTTTAACAAAAAAGTAGGAAAGGGAAAGAAAGGAAAAAAAAAAAAACCAGGCCAGTAAGTATCAAAAAAGTAGAATCCACAAAAAAAAAAACCAGGCCAGTAA